TTTCGTCTTTGAGTGGAGCCACCAAAAACATCTGACTTGAAAAGATCTACTACTACATCTGTGCCACCCAAGTTTTTCCAAACAACAAAAAGAAGAGTTGTCATAGTCTAGAAGCATGCAGACATTGTAACAGTAGATGGCTTGTATTTTCCCCACTCTTCCAATAAAGAGAACACACATGAGGAGAGAGAGAACCCAGTGCTTCCATTTCCTTTGGAGCCTCTCATGGGTGTTATTTATTTGATTAACAACCTCCCAACAAAAAACCTTTACTTTAGGGGGAATCAGGCATCCCCCACACCTCTTTAACTGGGAAAGGTTGAGCTTCTGAAATGGGAAGTAAAGATTGAAAAAAGGAAGCGCACGTGAAACAACATTTGTATTAGGGGTCCAAGTTCTCTCACCATTCCCTGATGAAGACAAAACAAAGGTTTCAAGAAGGGTTACAAGAGAGACCAGCTCATTTGTTTCAAAATCCCTTAAAGGCCTTCTTAGACCCAAATCCCAAGCTAAACCATTCTCTCCAAAGGAAAACAAATCCGCAATTAAACTATTTTATAGTTGGACAGCCTATAAAGTCTTGGAAAGGTTTGACAAAAAGGAGAGTCCCCCACCCCAAGTATCATACCAAAACTTTACACTTTGCCCTGAAACCACATCATACCATATATTTTGCATGAAAGTAAGCAATGGAGTCAGAATTGACCTCCAGGGGCTTCTCAAAGTCACACCCCTGGCAAGCCCTGAATCCCAACTATTTGGATGTAACCCATAGATGCTTTTGATCACCAAATGCCATAAAGCCTCTCATTCTTCGGGACTCTCTATAACCACTTGCCTAACAAAGCCATGTTTTATTCTTGAATCCTACCAATTCCCAAACCACCCTACTTTTTAGAACTGCTCAACAACAGGCTTGTATCTCGGCCCATGAGAGCTTCTTAAAGGGCACTAGGGCCTGGGGGTGGGGCATAATCAAATGATTTCTAGGTTTAGGCCTTGGTTTGCTTAACTTTTGGGCTGCGCAGAGTCAAACCGGGACTAGATCAATTATTCAGCCTGGCTCTGTATAACCAGCTGATCCTCCTTAATTGATTTAACCATTCCCCCTATAAACAGGTTAGGCCCACCGTGGCTAATATGGTGGTAGGCTGCATCACCTTCGGTTCCACCTTAATTTCTTCTTTAATCCCTCTGATGAAGCACACTGTAGAAGAGCCTTCTCTGGCCACCCCTATGCCCTTATTGCCAGCTTCCCAAATTCTATTTGGTAGTCTCTCACAAAACCTACCTATTGGAGCTTAAAGAGGAACTCATAAAAATCTTCAAATTCCATCAGTCCAAAGCGGATACAAAGGGCTTTGGTGAAGTCTACCCACAAGAGCTGGGGGTGGGTTCGCCTTGAACCACTGAATCCATAAAATGGCTTCCCCCTCTAGGTGAAAAGATGCAATCAAGACTCTCTGGTGACTAAGGGTTTCATGAAATTCAAAATACCTTTTTGCCTTAAAGATCTATGATACAAGGCCATCACCAATGAAGGTTGGAAAGTCCAACTTCACGATGTATGTTTTGCCCCTTCCCATGCCATCATTGCAACCATTCTCACCCCCAATACCTTCTATTTCATTGTCAAAGGAATGTCAATCAGTCAGATACAGTATGAGTTTACCTCAACCCTAACCCAGTGTAATCAACTCAACTAAGTAATATGTAATTTCTAAACACACCCTGAACCTATAAGGTTAAACCCAATACCAACCAACAAACTTAAATTGTATTTTTGTAACAATTTTCAAAACCTAAAAGCCATTAATTTAAGTTGGAATTTGGTTTGTAGGTTCTAAGGTGTCACTTTCTTCATTAGTTAAAGAAGAAAAACCAAAATAAATATAAAAAGAAATCCTAAGCTTTAAGGCTATGGAGTTAGAAGTTAGCAAATTACAAGAACACCCTATATATACATAAGGGTATCATGACCCAGTGGGGTGGGTCAGCCAAAACTCAAACCCAACTTGGGTTAAATAATCAAAACCCTAACCCGACCCTACACTTGAATAGACCTGACCCTATCCCAACCCTATAGGGATGGGTCAAGCCAGATTTACCGTTTAACCTAACCCATTGACTTCCCTAATTATCATGATTGCTAGTCATAGCGCCTCTTTCCCATATGCAACACTAACCTGTGACTGCCTCCTTTTTAATTCTTGTGTCATTGGAGACCTTGTGTAATCCGACCGCCGTACTATCAATCCTGTCTTCCACGAATTCTGATCGCATGCTCTTTATCTTGTTTGAATTGGCACCGGCGTAGGCTCTAATACCAATTTTGTTGGACTTTGGCCAACACAAGCACCACTTCAAGAGGATGCAATCTCTTGAAAGGAAAAAATGAGGGGGAGAGAGCAACACAAAAAGAGAGAGATCAATGACTTCTTCCTTGATTATTATTCCTTACAACTGCCCTCTTATATGGGCGGAAATCTGAATACATCAAGAATTCAACATATAACAACTTCTAACTTCTCTTGATCAAGTTGGCAGGTTGTTGTTAGACAGTTGTTGTTGATGTGACACTGTCTTCCTTCACCTGGAGTATACTTGTCGTACAATGGGCTTAACTCCCCGAGCCTAAAATCTTTGGCTCCCTAACAGGTTTCTTTGTATAGTGATGTTTCTATGCCTACATAGTTCTTTAAAGAAAGAGGGTAGGGCTGAGTGATGCATTTTTTGTACACTGTACAGGGTCAGCTTAAACTAGGAAAACTTCACATGCCACAAAGTAAAGGTGTTCACCATTAAACTAGGAAAGCAATTTAACCTCAAACACTCCTAAAATGCAATCAAAGAAATGAGCAAAACCAACAATGCAGTAGGAAGTGGTTCACTATATCTTGATCATGAAGTATAGGATGCATATGGTGTTCGGTATGCTGCTATGCTAATCCCCTACCCCTCTGCATAAAAACTCATTCTTCATGAGGCAATTACATAAGAAAGAAGTGCACGGCATGAATGCTATCTTACAAAGATAGGAGCCAGTGGCCACAAAAAATAGCATTCTAGAAAAACAAATGGACTAAGAATATACATGTTGAATCATAAAGAGACTCTAGTGTCAACCTCATTAAGAGAGGTTGGGTTACTGTAGTTTTAGCAAATAACAACACTATGGTGTCTATATCCCTTTTTTTTTTATCAGTGTGTCTATATCCCAATTATTTAGGTCATAGAAAAGCCTTGGACTCCATTCAATTCATAGCAGGAATCCTTTTCTTCAGCCACCTCAAATAATGGCATATCTTCATGAAGAGTAAATACATCAAGATATAGATCCCTCCAAAACCTTAGTACCTTACTCTTGACTCCATTCCCCAGTTTACATCTAATAACTTTCAATTAAGAAAAGTAAGTCTTCTCAATACCAATCCAAACAGCAAACCATAACAGGTTCTTTCCTCACGAAAGGCCCATTTGAATTTTTGGGTGCCATATCTGGTGGTAGTGGATTTTTTCCACCAGCTTCCCATCTCCTCATTAAAATTACATAATCGCTTTCCTAATAAATCTTTATTTGAAGTTTTAAATGTCTCAAGCACAAACCACTAACTGTTTCTGTGACGCAAGTAATCTCTTAATCAACCAAATGAATCCAAATTCATCTCACCAACCCTTGCACACAAAAAAATCCAACTGTAGCTCCTCAAAGTTGATTGTGACAACAAACCTTGTTCTGAATAAAGTAAGTTCCATTCCTTTTTAAGAGTATCTAATTTTCCAATAGAATAATCTTCTAAGTGTTCAATATCAGATTTCATATGAATTTCAAGATGCACCTTGATCCAAATGACAAAGCAAAATGCTTAGATGGAAGAGAGCCAACTTACATCCCAATACCAAGGTCAAGGCTCCAATGTCATCTATTTCTGTTGACTTTGTCCTGAAAACCCTGAAGAGATTCTGTGTTGTGTCCCCAAATAGAAGAATGGGAGATTACTTCACATTGAACTTAGGCAATCTTGGGGTTTGTTCAGGATAAAGGAAATTGCTTTAATAGTAAGGTTCTTTAGTTGTTGCCTATTCACCTCCAAATGGCTAAGGTGGCCAACGATGAGAATTGCAACAAGTTGCCATATATGTTCCTCAATAGGTTTGTTCCTAATTTCCTAGACATCACACATCACCCAGCAACTCCCCACTCCCTTGATCACAACTCATTTGAAGTACTCACTCACATTTATATATAAGTTTTAAATTCAAATATCAAATATGCGATCTCTAATGCTCCAAACACTTGAAACCTTGGAAGCCATATTCTCCTTGACTTTGTCAAGGTACTAACTTTCACGTCTGTAACCAAGTCAAAAACAGATAGATGTTGTCCAACAGACTACTTCACTAACCAAGTCAAAAACAGATAGATGTTGTCCAACAGACTACTTCACTAAGTAGTGAGTCAATATAGACAACCGGACAACATGTCAAACCATTCAATTGAAATGTATATATAATTTCTGTGACGCATCTATAAGCTAAAATCGAGTAACCATTTTAAGGATCATCTTCATTGTAATAGGTTCATTATCTCTTAGCTACCCTTCAAATAAGTTCACATTGATGATGTTGCTGCCCGCAACTTCTACGTCCGGTATGAGTAAACAAATGATCCTCCTAGGATGCAGTATTCATTAACCCAACCTAATTATTTACCAAAACACAAACTTATCCCACTTTGAATGTTCAAAAATTGATTTATACAACTTCCTATTATCTTCAATTCCTAATAGAAACAATTCCAAATGCACCAACTTCTAAAAAAAAATCCCCACGTATGATGTAAATCAGAGAGAAATCCACATTTACGCGACATATGAACACTAGCTGATCAAAACGATAATCGTAAAACCCTAATTCCGAAAGAAAGGTGAATAGTTACGTCAAAGAAGAAAGATAAAATAGAATATCAAAAGTAGAAGAAAAGAAAGAGAAGAACTCACCAGGGTCTTCAACGGCGGGAGTCTCCACCTGATTTGTTTTGGAGAAGAAAGAAGGGAAGAGTCTGGTACCGCCACTGGAGACAAGGCGAGAAGCAGGGTCGAGGAGCTTCGAGAACCAACCCCTCTCTTTGCTTCGGCCGGTTTGGGTTTGATTGGCGGGACGGGCATATGGAGTTGCCGGAGGTTTCCGTGCCGATTTCCTCAACTTCCCGCCGGCGCCTCTGTTGTCCCCATTGGGCCCCAATGACGTCAGTGCATCTTCAATCTCCATTACAGACACTCTCTTATCTCTTGTCTCTTTCTTCTTGTTCAGAAAACTTTTGCTCCTTCTCTCTTTCGTTTTCAGAGGAAAAAAAAAAACAAAAACCCGTTTCTACTTTCTAGTCTCCGCTTTTTCCCGGTCCTCTTTAAACGTTGAAAATCGTTTTCTTGTTCGTTTGTTTGTTTTATTAGTTCGAGGAAAGTTTCTTTATCGAGTCCTCCGGTCCTCCCCCGGTGACGAGTTGCTACTTTTCTACTTTTATAATTGGATAATTTATTAGAATACCCCCTTAGTTTTATAGATTTATTTAAACTTATCGTATGTAATTTTATTAAACTACTCCTTGTAGTTTGCAATCTATTTATTTAATCAACCTTTCTTTAAGAAATATTTGTTTTGCTATATAAAAATAGTAATATGATCATCTAAACTGAGTGGAAAATCTTCAATGGACCTGATGTAGCGCGATCTGGTCACTCCTAGCTGGTGCTCGCGTGGCTCCTGAGAGGTACTTGAGACAAGAAGGAAGAAGAAGAACTCCCGGGGGAGTTTCCCGGCGGGAACGCTCCGATGCTTAAGTTAGTATTGTGTGCAATAAGCAAATGGTAAATGAAGGCTAAGAGTGCAGATGGCGCAGGTGATTCGAAGGTACCTTGTTCCTTGAGGATAAGCCTCTTAGAACTAAATTTCGTTGCTTCAGGCCCTCTGACTTCTAACAGGGCAGGTATAACCGCCACTGTCAGTCTGCCACAGCCGTTACAGGCAAGGCTAAGGTGGCACGCGCGGGGCCGTCGTTGCAGGGTACGTGCCTGTCAGGTGCGGGACACCTTTCTAAAGGTGGCAGGCGCGACGCTATCTGACGAGGGACATGTCTGCTGTCCACAGATTTGTCGGGTACGGCGGTCGAGCAAGAAGCCCTCCTGTGGTATACCAAACTACCCTCCCGCGAATTACCCCGAGCCGGGCTGTCCTTTGAGTGACGGGCTGCCTGTAGCTGGTTATGCCGAGCTAGCTGACCCGAGGTGCCTATGCCTCGGGGCGTCCAGTGAAGGGTCGGTGCGTTCTTGCCTGGGAGTGGCCCGAAGTCCATTGGGAGGAACTCGGGCCTTAAAGAGGTCAGGGTGCCCCGAACTCGGGACCCCCCAAAGTGCCTTAACCCCAAGGAGGAGGTGTGGGCAAGGCGGCTTCCGACGAGTAGTTTACCTGCCGAGTTGCCAAACTGAACTCGGTGGGACTTTCCCTCCGAGTTGTGCTCACGCTCGTTGCGCTGTCATGCTGAGTCATTGTTTGAGCAAGGTCACACCCACGTGTACCCGTGCTGCGAGGTCGGGCCAAATCACCCTCCATCGGGACCCATGGTTGTTTATTCCAAAATTATATCTAAACTGAGTGGGAAATTTTTCAAGAGTATGGATCCATAGTTGTTTATTTTAATAGTACCCCTATACTTTTTGAATAAAAAACAAAATTGACCAAATAGAGAAAAATATAGTGGTTGTCCATGTTTTACTAGGGCATGGCATTTTTGTTATTAGTTTATTTTCATTAAATTTATTTGAATTGATGTTAGGATTAAAACAGTTATTTTCCACTTTGATTTGATGGAAGGTCAATTAAGTAAATTGATGGTAAACTATAGGGGGTGTTTTAGTAAAATACAAACTATAGAATAATTTTTAGTAAGTTCATTAAACTATAGGGGTGTTTAGTAAATGACCCTTTATGGTGTTTCCTTAGGTTGCGCTTGTTTCTCTTATTATTTTTTGGTTCAAGTGGTCTTATCATTTTTATTAGTAAGTGTGTATGTGGCAATTATAGATGAAGATAATGATAGTAATATTATACCAAATTTTTTATAAACTTTTATGTATTTTTATTTTTTGTTTTTTATTATTAATTGGATGAAGATTGCAAATTCTAAATCTAATTATATAAACATCTCATTCATATATGTGATAATCAGATCGAGTTGTGAATTTTTAAGTATTATTGACAGGCCTACCTAATTCGTTATACTCTTCTTTTTGCAATGTTTATTTTTTGTATGTATTTGTTTTCTTTTGTTCATTTATCAGAAAAAAAAAGTGTAAGATTTAAATAGATGAACTAAATTCAAAAATGAGTATTTTAGTTAAAATAAAGTTTTGCAATCTTATTCATATTTTTAATAGTAGCGTAAACATAGAATTATAGATGTGTTCAATTTTTTTTATATATATACATATATTTGTGTATAAAAATAACTATGATATGCCACACTTACTTTTTGTTTAATATGATAACTATATGATATTACACATGTGCCCGGATGCTTTATTTTTTGCAAAATTTATGTATTGTTTTATTTTTATATTTTATTATTTATTTATGACATTAAAGGTTAACACATTTAACATAAAAGTTGAACTATTTTATTATTAATTTTTATATTTCATTTTCATTATCCATAAAAATATTTATTGTTTATTACATTTATTTATTTATTTTGGTTAATAAAAATATCATAAATGTGTTTAGTTTTTCTATATTTTTGTAATTTTCTATATTTATTTTTATTTTAAAAATTTTATTACCTAAGTATGACTTCAAAGATTGATCAATTTGATTTGAATGATTGAATTGCTTAACAACCACTTGGATAAATAATGGTTTTGTTTTCAAGACATTTTTAAAACATATGTGTTTATATTGTTAAAAATATTGACATATATCTAATTAGTAGCATTTATTAATGAAAAATAACTTGAATGTAGGATTTATAATAAGAGAAAAATGAGATTTAATACATTAAGTATAAGACTTAATGAAAGGGGATTAAATGATATAGAAAGTAATAATTGAAGTTACATTTTCAACCCTTACAATTAAATAAAGATTAAATACACAAATATGAACATTTTAATAGCCATTACATTAGGCATTAAAACTATAATAATTGACTTTTATACATTTTCTCAAACAAAGAAATAGACGATAATTTTATTTCAAAAAAGTTTCACATTGTATCCACACTTTTATGTGAAAAGTGAAACAATCACAGCCTAAAAGTAAAGAGAAAACAAAGGAAAAACTATAGATGGCGTGTCATTTCTAATAGTCAATTTGGCAAGCTTTTACATTAAAAGGGTGTTCAAGAATATGAATGCTTTTGTTTTCAAAGTTGCCACATCAGGAAAAAAATAAGAACATGTTCTCACTTCTCAGTGCTATAACCTTGTTTTTGTTTTGAGAAGTGAAAACACAATGATTTCCTTTCCAAAAAACAAATCATATTCTCAAAATCACCAAAATTATATTTTCTAAAACAAAAACAAATTCTCCCTCTATAAACAAATAAATAAACAAATACACAACCAAAAACAAATTTCCAAACCTTTTTGTCTTGAGAAACAGTCTACTTTCAAACAATATGGTTTTAATTTGTTTTCTGGAACCAACAATAAGAAAAATCAATTTACATTCCAGGACCCCCCCCCCAATTAGTACTTGCATAAAAAAAAAAAGATTTAAAAGTGTTATCAATGCACATGCCACTCAACTACTTATTGATAAAACATTCAATAGGAATAGAATTAATACTAAATAACATTTAAAAGTGTTATCAATCTTTTTGTGGTCGAAATGGGGTTGTCAATCCAATACATATCATTCATATGCATTAACAATAATGCTGTATGAACCTTGATACATATATTTTTCTCATTGTTTACTCTCTCTCTCTCTATGCCATGTAAATGCACATGCCATGCAACTAGCTATTGATAGAATATTCTTTAGAAATAGAATTAATACTAAATAACATTGAAAAGGGTCGTCAATCCATTATTATATCTAGTTCATATACATTAACAATAATGCTGCATGAACCTATTAGGCAAACAGGCACACGGAAGGCACGATTGGCAGTACGGAGCTGTTTTTTTTTTTTTCATCTTTTTTTCTCTAATAAAAGCATTAAAAGGAGAGTCCGGATCTCCTGTCCACAACTTCTTATCCACGTCCCTGCCAATGTCATAAATTTTGGACACATGTCCATTAATATATGCCTCTTCTTCACATGTTCATTAACAATTGCATGTAAAGTCAAAAGGATATAATGGGAGGGACGTTAAGTCTATCCCGTCAGAACTCAAAATTCACCTTTTATCTCAATTAAATTTTTAATCTAAAAATAATTACTTTCCCCTTCCCAAGAACCCTAATAGTGTTTCATTCTTTATAACGTACTGTTCCAAAAAATTTCATAGGCAACTGATAACCGGTATCTTATTCTCTCCGTACTCCATCAATTTTCTCTTCTCCACAACGTCCTGTTCCAAGAGATTCTACCAACATCCGACAACTGACAATCAAGGACGTGTTCACCGATACACCGGTGGTTAAGTAACCTCAACCAATACAAAAAATATTTACTATATATACTCATCACTCAGAAGTCGGAACCTCTGATTGGTTCTGTTTTATTTTCTGGCCGATAGCCATCTCGTGTAAATATCAGCATGTTCATTTCAAGAATATCAGAGGCACCTCGGCATCAAAGGTTGCAGTCAATATCATGTGCAGCAAACAGGTGCCCTGTGAGGACGTTCAACTGTTCGACATCGATTTGAAATACAACAGCACCAAACCCGATGATTTGGCTCCCTTGGCCTTGTGTTCTAATGTTCAGCCAAACTTTTGGGGAACCCAGATGCCAACTCCTTGCAGATAAATTGACCTCTCTATCTGATCAATTGTATTAATTAATTAATTAATTAAATCCTCTCTTCCCTTGGTTGAGGTTATTTAATCACCAGTGTATCGGTGAGCACGTCCTCGATTGCCGGTTGCCGAATGTTGGTGGAATCCCTTGGAACAAGACGTTGTAGAGAATAGAAGAAGAAAGTTAATTGATGGAATACACAATAGAGAATGAATGGAGAGAACAAAATACTATTAGGGTTTTTGGGAAGGGGAAAGTAATTATTTTTAAGTAAAAAGTTAATTGAGGTAATGGGTGAATTCTGAATTCTAACGGGATGGACTTAACGTCCGTCCCATTACATCCTTTTGACTTCACATGCAATTATGCACATCTGAAGAAGAAGCACATGTTAATGGACATGTGTTCAAAATTTATGGTGTGGATAGGAAGCTGTGG